ACGCGGCAGACGCTGCTTGTCGATATCTGACATGGATCGGTGGATTTGTTGAGTTATGTGGAATCCGGCAACGATACCGATTTCCACATAGTACAAAAATTGTACAAGTTTGTTTTGGATTCCATCTCTCTCCAGGCCGCCTTTCTTTCTCAAGGATTAATGATTCGATAGTTTAGTTCTCATTTTTTCTTATTAAACAATTTCCTTTATTTACAATATTTTCACAAAGGGTTCATAGATCTTAACTCTAGATGTTAGATGGCTGCTTAGGGTACTAAGTAATGTGCCTCTTCCTATTTTAAATCTCAACGAGACGATCTCGCTAGGATCTCTCTGGATGTGGCCAAACTTACGACTATCACACTGGGTCCTGACTAGACTCTGTTTGGGGCTTTCCATTTACATTTCCATTTCTCTGATCATGTCTCTATTTTCTGCCACCTCTTCAATAGGCCATCTCCGCTCCCCAGGGTCTATAGGGTTTGGCACCGTTTGGCGTGGCATATTGCAGGACGCTGGCATTGTTGTAGTCCTGCCCCCCGCTCACGGGATACTGGGGAGCTGTGCTGTAGCTGAGGCTCTCCGCGCTGGCTGGAGGTCGGTGGCTGTTGGTCAGATCGATGTAGGTGGGAATCTGTTGCTCCGGATGGACAACCGTGTGATCGTGTGTATAGTGTTGCTGCTGCTGCTGCTGCTGTTGTTGTTGCTGCTGCTGTTGCTGTTGCTGTTGCTGTGGTGGCTGAGGCGTTGTCTGAGTCCGGACATGGGTGGGCGGTTGCTGTTGATGTTGCCCCTGTTGTTGCTGCTGTTGCTGCTGCTGCTGCTGCTGACTGCTAGTATCGGAGTGCAGCTCATGTGGTGGCAGCGGCTCACCATTAACACCACCCGATCCACTTGTCCTGGACACACTTGTCCTTCCACCATGCTGCTGCTGCTGCTGCTGCTGCTGCTGTTGTTGCTGTTGCGGTTGCTGCTGCTGCGAAGGCGATGCACTCAGCGTTGGGTAGCTGTGCAGTGATGAGCTGGAGACATAGGCACCTACAGGATTTCCGGCAGTCGCATAGGTCTGGTAGGGAGTGGCCGCACAGCTGGCGGTTGCCTGGTAGCCGACGGCACTGGCAGCGGAGGCGGACCATCCACTGGGACTGGCACAGCTCTTGGCCGAGAGCTCCCGCTGCTGCACAAAGTACTGCAGGTGGGACATGAGGCGCAGGCGCAGCGGATCCTGGATGTCCATGCCCTCGATAGTCACCAAGTAGCGTGCCACCTCGGCTGCGCACTCTCGGAACCCGATGATGTGGTAGTCCATGGCCACGCGCTGCGGGTCATAGCTGAGCGAGTCCAATGCTGCAACAAGAAGAGGAGGCGAAAGTCAATAAGCTGTCTAATCCATCGTCAGAGACCAGAGCAAACAATTCAAATAGTTGTTCCCACGCGACTGCCTAAACAACCACCCCCATGTCCTTCTCCGGGATGGGACAAGCCTCAGGGCAGGGGGTGGCAGTGCTAATGCTAATGGTTTGCCTAGGGGTGGAAGCGCCCTGTTCGCCCGCTTCTGGGTATAAAAAGCGAGCTGTGTAAGGGCAGTGGGAGGCGGGCAATGAGCAGCGTGGGAAGCCCCGAGATTCGAGATTCACTTGGGCGGTGCATTGTTATGTCTCTGAATTTTGCGGCAATCATAATATTTTTCCCATAATGCCAGCCGGCAACCCGCGCCCTAATACTCCCTCCTGTTTATGGGAACAACAGGTTGGGATTTATAATGAGAGAATTCTAACTATTTGGGGAACAATTATCCCAGTTTAGTGTTTCAATTTGTTAGCAAAGTGGCCGTATCCCGATCCCTGGTGTCTTCTTTTATGTGGGATACAATTCGAGGAATTATTAATTTAAATAGGAACTTGAAACTAAGAACTTAGGATTCTGTTAGGGAAATTGTGAGGCTTTTTTGGCTAAGAAAATTATTAAAAATTATCCTCTGTCAAAAAATAAGACTATTGATTGACCTTGAATGATCTCTAAACATGCTTTGTCTTGAAGACCGACTAATCACGTTAAATAACTAATGAACTATGGCTTGAAACTGAAAATAAAGTTGACTAATTCCCCCTTTTAAAAGTTTGTTTTATAGCCTCAAAATTCTTTGATTCCCCCCGAGATTTTGAAACTTACTTTTTGACTGCAAATTCTTGAGATGCTCCACCGTGAGCTGTAGTATTTCGGCCTTCTCCAGCTTGGCGGATCCCTGCTTCTCGTAGGCCGAGGGCACCAGACGCTTCAGTTCGGTGAGCGAGGAGTTGATGCGATCGCGACGCTTCTTCTCGATGACTCCGCGACGCTTCTTGCGGCTCATCAGTTGGCAGCTACCCGGCTGACTAGGAGAGACTCTGTAAGCGAAACAGAAATAAAACAAAATGTTAGTAGGAAGAACCCAAATAATTGTTGAGCAGATTACGCATACGCACTGTTCTTTGGAGGACTCCTCCGAGTAGAGGTCGTCGCAGTCGCTCTCGGAGAGCGCGCGCTTCAGACTGTTGTGTCCGTGGCTGTGATGGCTCTGCGGCGGCTGCACCCAGTGGCTTTGGGGGGTGCTGGCGGTGGCTGGCAAGGCCACGGCCGGACCTGCCGCATATCCCCAATGGTGGAGTGGCGCATTCGCGTGCATGTTGTGGTCCATCTTTGTTCTTTGTTGATCCTGCTGCACACTTGACACTTGACTGAGAGCACTGGGCGATTGTCTTTTCACTTGAGGTTCTTTCTTGCACTTGGACTTGGACTTGGACTCGGAACCAAAGAGCGGAGCTGGCTTGAGCACGTGACTTATCGTGTGCGCGAACGGCGTTCGACTGATTTTGCAGCACACGACTAACGGACGACCTGCCCGCCGTTGCCGTCGTCGCTGCCGCCGCTCAACCCCTTTCGAACGCCGCCGGCAGCCGCCCAATAAGATGCAGCAGCAACCACCCCCTGGCAACGCGTGCCGCCGCTCTCCAGGATGTTTAGGCTGGGGGTAGGTAATAGTTCACGATGATCGCTGTTAGGTGAGAGAGACCAACAAATGAACAAGGGCGGATAGCAAACGTGGCAGAGAGAGAGAGAAAGATGACCTTGGAGTGAGCAGCACGAAGTCAGCGTGCGAGAGGAATAGATGGAACGAAAAGAGCAATCACTGTGCCGGCTTTATATCCGCCTGTCATCGATGTCGATGGCATCAGCATCAGCATCGGTATCGGCACCAGCATCATCGCCGTGGGCGTCTGTCTGTCTGTTTGTCTGTCCGCCTGCCCGTCGGCTGACTTGTGCTGCCACTTGCTCCTGCTGCTGGCAGGCCCATGAAATGGCTGGAACTGGAGCACGCGACCCGAACAGCGGCCGGTCGTGTGGCATTGGACCTGGCGCCGTGCCCCAACAAGTGCAACGGACGACGCTGACCTTTATCTGCATACAAACACACGTCCCGTGTTTGGGCCAATATTTCTAGGTCAGTGTTGCCTCAAGGTTACGGGAGCCGCAGACGCACACACAGCCACAGCCGCCGTATCCCGGTGCGGAGACATACCAGAAGGATGCGTGGACAGGTGCCTGAAGGCGGTGTGGTGTGTTGACCTAGTCCCTCGGATGAAATCGATACATTTCCATTGTTCAGTTGCCATGCTAATTGTGAGGCACTCAAGGAGGTGTCCTTTCCAAACATTAAACACACAGTGCGACAGTCATTACGATTGCTATGCAGATAAAACAAGATACGAGATAAAATCCTCATGCTTACAATTTACAAAATACATCCAAAATCTGCGCATTTTTATTTAATCTGCAATCTAAACTTTAAAATCTGATGGTTTGTGTCTATACTCTAGAGAATGGAAAGAACTCTCATGAGATTTCTTTTTGGTATCAATGAAATGGCTATACCTGAAGACAAATCGAGCCAAACTTTAAGTTTTCAAGCATTTTAACCATTCAGCAATTGCTGTGGCTTATCAATATAGGAAGCACCATGACCATGAAAGCTAATAGAGCAGTATACTGGTATGCAAAGTCAAATTAACAACGCATACAGGTGCTACAAAATCGCGCCATGCTACAAATAACAAACTGCAATTTGTGTAGAACATAAAGCCAGACTTCTACATTGAAGGTGCTCATATAATCCTCCCACTTTTCTGACTAACTTTTAGATTTTTGTTTGTACATATCTACATATGTACATACAAATTGCTTTTTCGGGAATGCTTTAAAAATCTAGCTAGATATTCAGATTTCCTGCAGGTCTTTTCACCTTTGAAAAAATATTTTGTTTAGACGCTATAGTCTGTCAATCAATTTTAATTTGCCTTAGAAAAATCTTTAAAATTAAGAAATGAATACAAAATGCCTGCAGTTTCAATTGCATTCCATTCCCTTCTCCACAATATTGTCGGCATCAAACAATTGCCATCTAAATGTGACCATTTCAGATGTGATACCCTCAGTATAACTCTGCTCATTTCCGTGGTGGCGTATGCTTGATATTAATGCTCGAGCTCATATCAATTTCGAAATGAATTGAAAATGGAAAATAATAAAAAAGTGCTTTTAATTTGATTCGGCATGCTGTCGCTCAGGTTTCAAATGTAACAAAAAGTAAAGTGAAAATGTTTAATGGCCAATGCCAGGGCCAGGGCCAGCGTGGGACAATCTCTAAGCGGCGGCTGGACTATGGAACTGAGTAGAGAGCTGAAATCGACGAAATCCACCCCTAATCAAGTGGATGGATAGTGCACGGCGAGAGGCAGCAGCGACAACGCCAGCAAGTTGAACTTGCACCACCGTCGCTCACTCGCAATCGAGAACAAAATCGCAGCCGTGGCTCGTGGCTCGTGGGAAAGCCAAAGGTCCGGGGATTCTCACGCATGTTCAGCACGTGCAGGACGTGCGCCGTCCGCTTCGTAGTGAGAGAGAGAGAGAGAGAGAGAGTGGGTTGGTAGGTGGGAGGGACAGCAAAGACAAATTGTTTGAAGTGCATTCAAGGTATGGAGCCAAAGGAGCGTCGCAAACACTTTATTTTAATGGATTTCTGGCAGCAACTTTCTATAATGAAAATTGCGGTCCACCATATACAATACGAGTATTGGCTCGGCTACAAACATAAGTACATAAGTATCTGGTTAGGTATTTCTCACATATCTGGTTACATCTAATTTCATTCGGGCGGAGGTCAAAGTCAAAGGCCACCGAATTCCGAATTCCGAATTCCGAATCTAGAAGCTCTTAAGGCAAAGACTACTGTGCGTTCCAGCGTTCACTTGGGGATTTTCGTCGACGAAGGGCCCCAGGCTGAGCGGCTCCGCTTCATCGATCCACGTTTCCAGGGTGCAGGAGCTCGATTGGTGGCTCGACCTCTGTGACTGCGACTGGGATCGGGATCGGGATCGGAAGTGGGAGGGACCGGTCGCCGCCTTGCGCCACCGACTATCAAAGTCATCCCAGTGGGTGGACAGCTGCCAACGATCGATGCTCTCGTCGTCCATTGAGTTGCCATTGATGTCCCACTTGACAATGGGGTAATCATCGTGCGGCGGCTCCATGATCACAACGTTGTGGTAGTTTCCTTCGATCTTCGATCCCAGGCTGATGCTGCACGGATGGAACCTGGCCGCAGTCGGCATCTGTTGCGGCTGCTGCGGCTTCTGTTTGGGTTGGGGCTGCGGCTGCTTCTGCTGCTCCTCCACCTGCAGATGCAGATCCAGACTGGAGTTGGACGGGGTGTGCCGCAGATATCGCACGTTTTCCCTGTAGGGCACTCGCTCGAACTCGATGCCAGAGTCTGGGACGGGGGTGGACTCGAGTACCTCATAGTTGCTCGAGCTGAGCAAGTACCTGCTCCTCAGGTCTAGCTTGGTCTCCGGATAGTGGAGCTGCGGCTGCGGCTGCTTCTCCTCCTCTGCCTCGCTGGCATACTCAAAGTGTTGGACGGCTTTTGGTTGCGTTTGGTGTTGTTGGTGTTGGTGTTGGTGTTGCTCGGGTTTGGGACTACACTCGTTCAGCTGCAGCTCCTCGTAGATGGCCTCCGCTGTGTGGCAATTGCTGTTCACATCCTTCTGCGGATACGTCTCTCCATCGGACGGCTCCATCTCATCCTCATCATCGCCATCCTCCTCGTCCAGGCGCTGCACAAAGAGCTGCCTTGAAGTGGATATCTTGCGAAGCAACTGCAATGCAAATCGTTAAAAATAAAGTGTTCAGAGTGAGCGGCCAACGCGACGCATGAGTAACAAACTACACGGAAGGCGGAGGTTCCTTGTTTCCTGTTCCGCCTGTTTGCTTAATGTTTATTTTAGTGCCTTCAGGGGCATCGATTTTTTATCGATTGCCCCCACTGCCACTCGGCCAGCACATTGACTCTCCTCTCTCTGCCGCCAACTCACCTTCAGGCAGGACTTTTTGGTGCGCCTCAGCAAATGGGACATTCTGCTTGCCGTCTCCGTCTCCGCCGTCTCGGTGTTCCAAAAATAAGGCAGAAATGTGTGTGCAATTATCGCTATTATTGTTGTGGCTTAAACGTTGTGGCTTTGACAGGGGCATGCCTCATCGCTACGGTTGCGACGGCTGCTGCAGCACCTTGGCCTAACAAAACAAAACTGAAACTGTAATGGGAATCGAAACCTCGCTAGCGGCGCTGGCGGCAGTTTGCAGGTGGAGCAGGCGGCAAGGACACCCTGCCTCGGCTCGGTCGTGTGCCACATGACTCATGGCAGCCACTGCAAATGCCAGCTGAGAGGCGACCCCTAACGCGACGAGACGCGACGCCGCGGTCGGCACAGGCGCAGTATAATCCGCAGAATATGGCCAGACGAGCGCCCAGATTGCGGAATCTCGGGTGGGGCATTGGGGCAGGGCGGGGAGGGAGGTCGCCTAATGCGGTAATAGCGGTGCTTAAACCGAACCAAGCCTCCTCAGAGTGCCCTCGAATGGCCGGTCAAGTGGTTGGGCTCCCCTACGCCCACTAATATCCTGGGCCAAAGGTAGTTCCTGCCCTCGGATTATTGGCTTCGTGTGGCAGTGTTGGCGCCAAGAGTCTCGCGTGAAACTTTATTATGAAGCTATTTCCTGACAAGGCTTCCTTTAGACTATTGGGAATATACTTTCAAAAAGGAGGGATATGTATATGTGAATATAAAAAATTGCAATTAATGCCTGCAGAACATTTTCTATTCATTCACATTTGAATAGTAAAATAGGCTGGAATCAAATCAAAGCTGTCTGAACCTTTGACCATAGACGAAATGATAATGAAATCAAGTGTAGACACGAGTAAACTCCGAACATCAAGTCCCTATCTGCCATACACCTTGCAGCTGTTCAAGAGGTGGAATAAAACACTATAAAAAGACTATCAGCTAGGACCACAGCAAGTGGAAATTGTAATAGATGGATTTTAGTTACGGAATGGGGAGTCGAAATGGATTTAAAGTCTTAATCAATTGATATGGTTGCCGAAACTCCAAGGCACTGACTGCTGTGCACAGTGTCCTAATTAATGACATTTGCATGTAAATTTCAAGCAAATTAAGCAAATGATTTAAATGAATTTTCGTGTAAATATCCAAACCAGTTTTACCATTCGAGCTCTCTTCTTATTTGACTGTCGAGAATGAAAACATTTTCGGCTAGCACTTTGTGGCGATTTGTCACATCACTCAAAGTGAGGGGAAGGACGCAAAGGACACACATTGCTGTGGTTTCGGGCTATTTTGAAATCCGAATTGAAAACTGAAATGAATCGTAGTGTGAATGATGACACTCGCAGCAAATTGCAATCAAATCGCAATGATTCGGCACTCGCACCGACAGGACAATCCCATCTTTCGGTCTCTTGAGCGTGACAAGATCCTTTTTTCGGTCATCGCTCAATATTTTTCGGCTTTTCGACTCTGACTTTTGACAGTTGTCATTCTCGGCTCTTGCCAGTTTTTTCTGTTTGTGTGCTTTAAAGAGATACTCTTTGCTTGCGGCCCAAAGGGGTGCCATGTCGTGTCCGATCAGAGGCGGAAGATATTGATGAGGTTGCCCAATTAACAATTGATTGATAGACCCATCTCCGGCAAAGGCGATTGGAAAAAGTAGAGTGCCGAATGAAGAGCGCCGCAATTGCCAATATCGATTACAAAAGTTGGATTTTAATTTTTAATTGCCGTTCGATGTGCCCTCAAGGGGGGTTGCGCTCGATTTGTCAGGAGAACAGACCGCAATCCTCCCCTGCCCATCCCTCTCCTGCTTCCAGGACACGTACTCGACTATTTTTATGGTCATTGCCGTGGAATTTGTTAGGGGTGTGTGGAGGGGTTTGACACGGCTCGAGGACCGGAGAGAAGAGCGTCCATGTCCTCGGGCAAGTGTCAATTATGCACGTCTTGATGATGGCACGGCATGGGCATGGGCATGGGCATGGACATGGGCCTCAATCGCTGTTGGAAATTTACATTTTATTAGTTTTACATGCTCGAGCAGCGGCTCAAGGGCATTAAAATTATTTACGATGCCAAATATTGTTGGTTGTAAATTTCGCATTCTGGCAAATATTAGGGGCACGCGGCAGGAAGGGATGTGGTTGTGGCATGGAATTGTAACGGACGACACAATCTCTGCTTGACCTTTGCCGCTAATTAGAGCCTCATTGTTTCGTTTCGTTCCCCCGGAGCCAACGACCGCATTCACTTTCCAGCTTAAATGGCGCGCAAGTCTGTTCGGATTTGGCCCCTAGTCGCACTCCGATGATGCTGATAATATTCTTATCGCCTAAAAGTCGGACAAGCTAAGGCACTCAAAGTCGAAGTCGAAGTCGAGGCACTCGCTCGTTCTCAATCAGTCTCTTTCTGAGTGGGCAGCCGTGCAAAGATGTCGAGCGGAATGCAGGAAATCCAATACTACGAACACAAGCTCGACATTCGGCGGGTTATCGAGGAGCAGGCGAAGCTGCAGAACGTGGACGAAGCCCTCAACATTTGCGATCTGTCTAGCTTGGAGCGGAAATATAATCTCTGGGTGCAGCATCTTCCCCGAATCACCCCCTACTATGCCGTCAAATGCAACGATGATCCCATGATTGTCAAGGTGCTGGCGGATCTCGGTGCCGGCTTTGACTGTGCCTCCAAGAACGAACTCAAACTGGTGAGAGAAATCCACAAAGATATATGAGGATTACATTTTCTATTCTCTGCAGGTTCTGGGATTGAATGTAGAGCCAGAGCGGATTATATTCGCCAATCCTTGTCGTCCGGTCAGTCACCTGGAGTACGCCCAACAGCAGCGGGTGGCCAATGGAACGGTGGACAACGAGTTCGAAATCTACAAGCTGCACAAGTACTACCCACACTCCAAGTAGGTGCTCGATCAGATCTTTCCCTACGACTACACTCTTATCGATTGATCTCTCACTCGCAGCCTGATTGTGCGCTTCAAGAGCGAGGCCAAGGAGGCACAGTGTCCGCTTGGCGACAAGTTCGGCTGCGATGCGGACGCGGACGCCACGGCACTCATGCTGCTGGCCAAGGCACTTGACCTGCAAGTCACCGGCACCAGTTTCCACGTGGGCTCAGGCTGCAGCGAGCTGGAGGCATACGATCGGGCAATCAAGAAGGCCAAGAACATCTTCACCTTTGGGGAGCTGTTGGGCTTTGAAATGAGTTTCCTGGACATCGGTGGCGGCTTTCCCGGCAGCGATGATGACAAGTTTCAGAAGGTGGGCTCAGTTTGACCACCGAAGCACAGAATGTGTGGATACTAATACAGTACTTTGCAGATTGCGGAGAGTGTCAACAGCTCAGTGCAGCGGCACTTCCCAGATGATCGCGTCCAGATCATTGCCGAGCCCGGACGCTTCTTTGTGGCGGCCGCCTACACGCTGGTCTGCAAGATCCATGCCAAACGTGAGGTGCGCAATGAGGCCGGAAAGCTGGACACTATCATGTACTACCTGAATGACGGTGTCTACGGCTCCTTCAACTGCATTCTCTACGATCATCAGGTGGTGACGGCAGAGCATTATTTGGTTAGTACCGCCGGCAGGTACTACAGCGAAAGATCAACTGAAGCTTAATTTATTTGTAGGCTGAAGCCGAGGCCCTGCCCGAATTCAAGTCCGTGATCTGGGGTCCCAGTTGTGATGCCTTGGACAAGGTAGGAATTCCCCTATCACCATCCATGGATTGATATTGATATTCGTTATTTTCAGATCTCGGAGAACCTGCGACTGCCCAACCTGAACCGTGGCGATCTGCTGGGCTTCCGCAACATGGGTGCTTACACGGTGCCCATTGCCAGTCCATTCAATGGCTTCGAGCTGCCACGGACCCTGTACTTCCGCGCCATGTGACTAAAAAAGCTGACAGGCATAAAGAAAGCATTTTCTTGTATTTGTAACCATCATGGATTCTTTATTATTTCGGCTGAGTAGACATATGTGGCTCCTCCTTCGCCTCCTCTAATGAAAAGCAACTTTCGTTCCCCAATTTCTGCTGAGGTTCTCCAATATTTCGAAGAGAACAGCTGCTGCCAAAAATACTGACCCGATTTGGTGGTATAGCGCATTCTCTTGAAAATATTTCGTGTCCGTTTTGTCAGAGGTTGTTTCTCTTTTGGATAGGCTGTCGGGTTGGCGAGCCGCTGGAGTGCCACTTGGCCCCCATCGCACCAGAGAGTGGCTACTGACCGAAGCCTCGGACTGGTCGATGTGGCGTGGGTCCGACTGCTTGCCAACCCGGCGGAAGCCCGTCAAGTGTCAGTGTTAATTTCTAATGGAGTTTACAACTTAGTTTGAATAGACAGAATTCATATATGCATGTCTGTATGTGTATATAAAAGTAAATATGTGTATAAAAACATTTCAAAAATTCCACTTTGCATACACATTGCTAATATTCTCTGTGTTGAGGTTGAGTTTCCTCTGCTCTGCTCTGCTCTGCACTGCGCATAAATATCAACTTGTCACATGATTTAAAAATGTAAGTAAATTCTATAAAATGCCTATATTTTAGGTGTGTACGAGTCATCCAGTGGGAGCACTAGGAGCTCTTGATATGTCACGATAATAACAATATAACGTATATTATATGTATGTTTTTATATAGGGATCATGTGCGGAACTTAGGGAATGGATAGGGAAGGGAATTGGTAATTGGAAGTTGGATGAGTGTCGACTGCAGTTACAATTTGCAGTACTTGCCCCATGTTTTCTGGCAAATAAAGAGTACAAACTACTTATTCCATAATCAGTTCTTGGTGATTGATGCAAATGATTTCTTTTTGTTTTGTTTTTCTTGTGTCTATTCCTGATCGCCGATCGCCTTGCCATGTGCAAATGTATTTGCCTGCCCGCAGTGGGAACCGCGTTGGGTTTCATATATTGTTAATTAGACATACACGCATATGTATATCGATATCTTTATAGATTTGACAATTTCGACTAGGTTAGATTGCTTGTAAGCTGCTTTGGGGGCGGGTGCAGTTGGAGGGCAGGACGGGAACAGGTCAGGAAACGAAGAAAACTTGCTTATAATGATTGTATCTCACAACACCGACGACAAAACGACGATAAACTACGCATAATAAATATATATATATATATATATATATATATATATATATATATGTATGTACTTGTAAGTATGTACACAATACGAAAGATGTAACATGTAATGCTCAAATGTAATCGTAACAATAATTTCGCGTCCCTTCTTAAACGTAACACTTGTCGCTTCTGCTTTTAAATTCTGATATGTTTGAGTTCCGTCTATTACATCAAGGTCTTAGGTCTAAGCTTTATCCGTATCGATATGTAAGAGATGCTACCATCTATGTATGTAACTCCCTCCTCTCGGGGTGTGTGTGCTTCCATGAGAGCGAGCTGGGAAGGCGCTGTCGCTGTCGCTGTCGAGCTACTGTGCATGTGTCTGATGGTGTCGTAGATGTTGGTGGTGTTGCAACTTGTTGTGTCTGTCTGTTGGGTGCATCAATTCAACAGGGTGAAGGTGAGAGGAACAGACACGGACATGTCGCTCTGGATTGCCTGATCTGATCTGGTGACATTTTGCTGCAGGTGGGTGGTGTTGGTGGTAGGCTGCTGTTGGAGCGAACGCTACGGTTCGGTTCGGTTCGTAAAGCGTGCTTTTTGGGTCTAATAATTGGCAGAGTTGCATAATTCACGGATTCACTATAATCTATAAGAAAATATACAATACAACAACACAGAAATGGTTTGCAGGCATACAAAAGGTATCTATGGGTCATGTTCTTTCGTGGGATTTTCTATGTTCAGAATCGAATTGGTTCGAATCGATTTGATTTGAATTGAATTGAATTAAATGGGGAGCCCGCAATAGAGGACTGCCCATCAACATCAACATCAACATCACTATCACTGTGCTTGAATCTGAATCTGGATATGAAACTGACCCACATGGAAAAGTGGTCTCCGGACCTAACTAGACTGGGGACCGACAGGCTTCAGATCGGATCAGATCGAAAGCGATTAAACGCTAATCAGAAACGCCACGCTACACATGGCAATGTGGGCCAGAATGTTCACTTGCAGTATCCGCATCAGACCGCCGCTCGTGGGTGAGGGACTCACATTGAGGCCGGCGCAGTGCATCTTTTCGGTGGGCATGGCCTGCACGAAGTACTCGCGGTTGTCCAACGACATGTGGCACAGCGGCTTCTTCTTCTGCGACATTTCGTCATCCTTATTCTTCAGGTCCTCAAGCAGCTTTGGGAACCAGGTCAATTCGCAGGAGCAGTTCAACGGATTATCTGCAATCGATTGAGATTAGTTTCCTACGCTGCGGCTGTGTGGCTTATTTCAAGGGTGACATGACTGGATGCTCATGACTTGCCATTGATATCGATGATGCGTAGAGTGTCAATGACCGGTTCCATGATGTCCTGGGGAATGCGTTGCAGCTTGTTGTTCTGCAAATTCAGCGTCTCCAGTGAGTTGAGGTTCTCGAACAGCACACTCGGCAGCACCTTGATGCTGAAATTTAAATGCAGAACGGGTCGAAAACGGATGAGTAAGAGTATTCCCCGAAATGGCATATCATGAGGCAGTTTTACTCATTCTTTTGAAGGTTGAGGAACGTGAGCGAGTCTCCGAATCCGGTGAAGGCGTCATCGGCCAGGACATTAATGTTGTTGTTGCGCAAATCCAAATGGCGAAGACGGTGCAGTGGTCGCAGTGCCTCGCTGGGAATGGAATGGATCTGGTTGTCACCCAGGCGCAGATATTGCAGGTTCTCTGAAGAGTGATTGTTCGAAATTATGTCAGACTCTAGAGATAATGGTGGTGATGAACACATACCCTCTAAGCCCTTGAACGCATCCTTATCGATAACACTGATCTTGTTGCCCTCCAATTCCAAGGAGTTTAGCTGGGTGAGGTGGATGAAGACATTCGCCGGCACGGTTGTGATCATGTTATGGGCCAGAATCAAGGAGTCAAGGTTTACCAACCCCTCAAAGTCACCCTCACTGATGGTGCGGATCTTGTTCTCCTGTATTTCCAGCTTCTTCAGCGTGTCCAATATGGACAGGGACTTTTGCGGAACTGTGCTCAAATCGTTACCACCCAGATTCAGACGCTTCAATTTTCTGCAAGACCCACAGATTTTAGTTGCAGATGGAACATACACTCTAGGGTCTAGGTTAAACTTACCCTTCCAGTCCGCGGAACGCCTCCGGGTCTATCTGGGTGATCTTGTTCTCATAGAGCGTCAGGATCTCCAATGTCCCTAGTCCGTCGAAGGCGTTGTTGTGAATCACGGTGATTTTGTTGTGGTTCAGGTTCAAGATCAACAGGTGGTACAGATTGTGCAGCGCCTGGGATGGTACGGTTTTCATTTGGTTCAGCGACACATCCAGCTGTGTGAGTCCAGTGCCTGAAATATGGTAAGCGACAAGGTATGGTGTTGTGTTACAAAATGCATGTACAGTGTTTAGCTTTTTGATCCACTCACCCAACGAGCTGAGAGCGTTCTCCTCTATGGCCGCCAGGCTGCTGTTGTGTATGGTCAGGTGGCGAATGTCCAGGGCAAGAAAAACGAATCCCTGCAGCTTGGGCAAGTTGTTGTGGCGTAGCTTTAGGTAGAAAATAATTGGACTTTTGCCCTTGAGGGTGCCCATGGATTTGGTGATGTGCGCCAAGTCCGTTGTCTCACAGAGTATGTCCAGACCGTTTTTTTTCACCGTGCAGATGCAAGGCGAGATGTCGCCCTGCTCCGGACACACCTGCTGTTGGGGTGTGTTCTGGGAGCCCGCCTGACCCACGCCCACCACCGCCGCCAGCATGAGTATCAATGCTGCGTGGCTGGAGTGGAACTGTAGCTGCTTCAACTGGATCATGATGAACATTTACTGGTAGATGTGGATCACGGAGTTTGAGCTTTCTCTCAGCAAAGAAACGTTCTCAAGGTGCCGTCACTGACCTTTCACGTGGATGCTGTGGATGTTGTGGATGCTGTGGAAATTGTTGATGTTGTGGATGCTGTGCCTGCAGTAGATGCTGATGAATGCTATTTACAGTATAGTGGCTATTGCTGTATTCCTGTCGAGAAGAATTGTGTAGAGTGGAGAGTGGAGAGTAGACAGTGGGGAGAGCGGAGAATGTGGGTGAGTGCTTGTACGGGTACATTCATTGAAATCCGGCACGGCACCAAATGAAAGCTTCAGCAGAAACAACAACAACAACAACAACAACAAAGAAACGCAAATTAAGCGCACAATGCGCGATTTTATTTGGGTTGTGGAATCATGGGTTCGTGGATTAAATATAAATTGCCCGCAATTGAGCCTTACGTACGTACAAATGTACGTACAGTGGGATCGCTCCTATTGTTGCTGCCGTGCCTGGTTACGCTCGTTATGGAAGTGGTGGCTCTCACCTAAATGGTTTGTCCGTCCGCTGACAAGTGCCAACTGAAACATGCTTCCAGTGCCGCCAAGATGCAACAAATTCGCTCTTGGGGGAATCGGGAATCGCGAAGAAAAGCCAACAGATTAGCTCTGCCTCAGGCTCTGGTCTGTTGCCTCTGCTTGCTGCCGCCGCGCATCAACCCGCCTGCTCGCACCGCCCTCAACTTCAGGAGGGGCTTCACGCGTGTGGGCGTGTGGGGTTGGGCGTGTGCGTAATGGCTGGGTGCGAAGTCGGTCAAATGTGTGTGTATAACGATGTAACGGAAAATCGATACTGCTACAAAGAGGTTGTTGAATGACACAAACCGTTTTGTTGTCTTCGCTTCCCTCCTCGCTGTAGCTGTGGACACACCACCCGAACGCGAGAACCAAACACAGACACACACAAGCCAGAAGAGGAGAGTCTTGGTATTTGTTTGTAATTGTTGCTTCTGACTAATTCAACAGTCCGTACATCTATTATAGCGGATGCTATAACTGTTCCTTGAATGTACTACCAGACGTATCCTCAAATTACGTTACACGCACACACCACACAGAGCTGGGACAGTCAGAAAAACGCCAATGGGGGCTATCAGTGATTAATCAATGCATGGGCTGCCGTTGTTTTCACTGTAATTCCTGTTGCATTATCTTTGGAATGGGTTTTCATGCAGCAGCAGCAGCAGATTCGGAAAATAAATAGAAGTCTATTTTTACTAGAATATGAAGCACGTTTGGTTGGCAGAACCGACGATTGCGGACTGCGGACTAAAACTGGGGGACAATTTAGCGTTCAGGGGGTTGATTTCATTTCGGAGCTTCTAAAAGCTTACTTGGGAGCTTCTCCACTCGCTATATTTAAACAGTGCTTACATACTCAGTTCTTGGGATCCAACTTTAAACAAAACAAAGCGCCCAACTATGGCTCATGTTGTTTGCAAGGAGATCACAGTCTTTTAGGTGCCATAGATGAACAAAGCGAGGTACCTTTGGATCATGCGTCCAGGGGATGCAAGGATTGAGAATGAGATCAAGGAGATTAAGATTAGAAACTGCATCTAATTCTTTTTTTTTGCCAGAAGTACCCGATTTTTCGTATTTCTTTTCCGGAAATACCCGTTTTTCTAACCCTTAGCAATATTTCCAACAGGAGGCGCTGACATTTCAGAATAAGTTGCTTTTCCTTTTCTGTTGTTTAAAAACCGAAACTACATTTTTTGTTCGCTGGTTCTTCCGGACTAAAGCGCGGGAAAACTTTCCAGCTGTTCTTGGTGCTGGAAATTACATAACACTGCCCTTTTGACGAAAAATTTGATTGGCTGAAAGTTGAAAAGTCGGAAACAAGTATTAAAAGTATTTATTTTCGATATAGAATTTCAAAGAACATGGCGGGAATGTTATTTGAAGTAAATCTTAAGATCTTCCAGGCAATGTTCTGGACAGGGAGTTGATAAATCTTTCGAAGTAATTTTGTATTACAGGTTGTTGAACTTGCCACTGTCCACTGGCCATCGACGGGTAGATAGCGGCTTTTTCACACCTGAATTTTTATTGCATGTTCGGTTATACCAGAATATATACGCATCACTACCTGAGTTTAGCCTCCCTATTGAATGGCACAGAAAATGATGTAGTAACTAATTTACCTAAAAACCCTCAATTTACTAAAAATCGTCGACCACAAACTACTATATTAGGGGTCAGTTTTACAAGTGTTCTGGTAGAATTTCCAAACTGAATCGAGTTTGAATTTTAAAATTATTTTTTAAATTTACTTATTGTTTTCCCTCTCAATTTCATTGCTTTAAATCAGGTACGTATTGTTTGTAAGATCTTAATATTTAAGATTCTTCCTATTTCCCGCCAAGTGCTTTGAAATAAATACTCAAAAATAAATACTTTTAATACTTTTTCCGACTTTCTACTTTAAGCCAATCAAAATTTTTAATATTTTTGCAGTGTTGAAAAGTGTTATTTTTAACCGGTTCAGTTCCTAAGAGAAGACACAGATGGCGCCACGTTAACAGTTTCACACATTGTAGCTTTTGTCAAGTGTTGTCAATCAATAACGATAAGTACATTTTTGTTGGCGAGATTTCGTGAGTATATCAGGTAGCAGACAGTAAATTACTCTCAGCTATGAAACTTGGCGCCAGTTTTGAAATTTTACCATCTTAACTATTGTCTGATTTTCCTAGCGTAACTAACTTTTTATTGTTCTGATTTTTGTAAGTTACATGCACATGGAATTGTCATTAATTTTGTACTTCTTAGTTTTCACATAGATATGTACATATGTATATGTAATGGAACTTTATAGAAATTGCCTTTACTTTTATAATTGCATTCTGCCGCTATGATGTGCATTGTCATACGATGTACACATGACTCCTTTAACCTGTTAAACATATTGAATTTGTGGAGTTTAATACAACCATAGCGGCAGAAGCAGAGGCCGAGGCACGGCTACTCCTTTGATGGCAATCCTGATCAGGTTACAGCCGCACGTGGGCGTAATTTTGTCGCAATTAGGATGCGATTATGATAACATGACCGAACGTCGTCGAAAGGGTAATTGAAGAACAGGACAGACCAGGCCAGGCCAGGCCAGGCCGTTCAACCCATTCCCTTCTTGGCTTGGCTGCTGCTTATGGTGCTGTGCTGGTGTTGCCACGTGCCACAAGACGCCTTCATCTGGCGGTTGGTCTGGACAAAAGTTTCAATTTGATATTCCTTTGCCTTGTTGAGCGTCTTGGGGTTGTTTCAGGGCATGGATTAAGGTTTCAGGCAACTGGAGCAGGCAGCATCCCGTGCTGCGCTGTCCTCTGGCTGGCATCTGTGGCTGCGGAAGTGTGGCTTATGCTTATGATGCAGAGAGGTGGCAGCCAGCCGAGGGAAATCAGCATTGGGATACGAGCGGACTTTGCATTTGACAAAGTGCGAAATCCTTTACACTTTGAAGACTGATTGACTTCTTATCCTTGAATGGATTTGAATAGAATTTTATTTCACTTTTCTTCGCTGCTAATGGGGGGTGCACGAGGAGCAGGGGTTGCTTGGTGGTATGCCACTCTGTGCCGTCTCTGCTTTTGCGTCCTATATAAACAAACGGAAGATAATCAAGATGTAAAACACAATCCTGCAGGCGGTGTGGCGGTGGGGGGGTCTGCCAATTGGGGGAGTGAGGGTCAGGGTAAGGTTGAGGATGAGGATGAGGGTCTTAACACGGCGGCTGTAATTCAAAACCAAACAAAAAACCGTCAAAGAATCAAAAGGCAAGCGATGGCAAATTACAGATCTGTGAGATGTTACAGCAAAAACAGTTCGTTCCAGTTACAGTTGCAGTCGCCTCACAAAAGGGAACAGAGACGGGGACTGTGGATGAAGAGCGGGCGATGGGGAAGGGGAAGGGGCCGTTGTAAAACGTCGCTGAAAAATTGTGAAACGGAATTTCGCTTTGTACTTGGAAAACTGTTATTAACTTAATGAAGGAGAAGAGTGTTGCGCGTCACATTTACCTGACACGTGATTCGGGATCCGCGCACCCGTGCGCTGGCATGTAGCATGTACCGGAAGCACTGGGTCCAGCAGGGGCCGGGGACCCCATCACCCAGCGCTGCAATGAGACTCAGTTTACGTTCATTATTTATTTTACTTTATTCACACATTTTCATGGACGCTTTAGCTGTCGTCTAATCAATTGAAAGAAGTCATTGGGGCAACGTGGAGTGCTTACCTCTTTTACTATTTCTTTGATTACAAAGATACAATTCATTGATTAATGAACAGAAATAACAAACCAAAGAAATAGATAGCTACTCTTTTAGCAGATTAATTAAACAGCTTGAGACCCATTGGGTTATATTATAAAATTCATTAGATCAAACAAACTGTGCAGAGTGCAGGCATAGACTTCCATAGACAAAACAGCAGCTAACCAAAACAAGCCACTGGCTGGCGTAATTAAACAGAGGCTAAGAGGAGCACACAGACTCGACTTCACTCCCGCCACAGCCACAATTTAAACGACACATGGTAGATAGGGCCAGAGTAGGGGCTCTCCACGCTCCACGAGTGTGTAACCGTATATTCGCTTTGGGTTTGCCTTCGGCTTTGGCTCTGGCTCTGGCTTTGGCGCTCAGATGAAGCTCATCGGGCAAAGTGGCAAGTTAAGTAAACAGTTTCATTGTGCGAATTCAATTAAAATTTATTCAAAATACGTCAAAGGCAGCTACTCAAAGTTGCTTCTTCTACAGCTACAGCTACAGCTGCTGCTGCTGCTGCTGCTGTCGCTGCTGCTGCAACAAAGTATCTGCATCTGTGATATTTTCCTGTGCACAGACACAGATGTAGCGGATGTAAGCTATATACATGGCTGTCCCTCTCTCTCTCTCTCTCTCTCTCTCTCCATCTCTCTCTTTTACACTGTCTTGTGTGGCTGCCATTGGGGAAGAGGGCGTGTCCGGACTTGGTCACGCCCCACTACAGCAGAAAAGAGACAACCATATGGATGGAACTTGAAGGGAGAATAAATGCTCAATGAACACTCGCACACCGGCACAAGTCTACACAATGTCTCTGCAGCTGTGTGCGTGCCCGTGCCACTTGTCGGTGTTGTTGTAACTGCCTTTGAGAGTGGTGTAAATGGCAATTTGTCGGGCGGTGTGGCTATGGTGGCGTGGCAGAGCAGAGCACAGCAGAGAGCAAAGTCGCCCCCGCACACGGTAGCGAGTCGAGTCGAGTCGTGTTGACAGGCCGCATTTGCTAGCATTGGCATCCGCCTCGCTCATTTCTGCCATATCATCGCAGTCATTATAGCAACGATCATCATCATCATCATCATCATTGTCGTCGTAATCATTGACCATGTTTGAAAAGTATTCCTCTTCTCTTAGTGTTCCTTTGTGTGAAAACTACCTGCCACACCGTGGGGCCCATCCGACGACAGGCTGTTCCTTTCCTCCATAAGAACTAAATGTTTTGATGCATGGAATTATAAATATAACCTAAGATATCTGCACTTGCAACCCTTTTATGATGTGCTGTAGAAGTAAACTTAGAAATAAGCTACCCATTATCGTCTTCCGCTCCATTTGGAATCATTCTTAAAGCTTTCCTTTAAAAACCTTCCATCCCACATGTTTTGTCCGCCCCAAAGGACATTGCCAGTGACAGGAGGACAGGAGGACAGGAGGACAGGCTCGACAATGGCTGAAACAGACCCGCTCCGACATGACATTGATGTGCACTGACGATGATTACGATAAAGTTCGTTGTGTTCGTTTCTCCTTGTCGCTGGGAATGTTGCTATATGACGATGAAGTAACAAGGAAGAACGACATTTCACGCTAACGAATTCAATTGAGTTGAATTTTTCATTTAAGGTTTATTTAAGTTTTTTATTTCATTTCCAGCAGCAGCAGCAGCAGCAGCAGCAGCAGGCCTCAAGCGATGGTTGGTATGGTTTGGTATGGTGTGGAATGGGATGGGATGATTGGAGATGAATGTGAAGAGTACCCAATAGATATGCTTGCTATGCTTTTATGATTGTGCCAATGGCTGCTGCCGTCGCCACACACAGCACAGATACAAACGAACTTATGCCTAATGGCGGGATTGTTGCTGCCTATCCGCTTCTTCGCTCCCACTGGCCCCTGCAGCACACATTGTTGCGCTGTTGTTGCGTCGTTGTCAATATTGAGCTTGATTATTAAATGACACATTATGTGATTTCCAACATGCTCACTGGGGAGGAGGG